AGTAGTTGCTGATACAACACAAACTCATCGTTTAATATATGTAGGCAATCCGCATGTTCATCAAGTGCTTATCGCGCACACGTTTAACCACAAAGGGTCACTGGAAGTATAGAACCTTACAAAGACATAACTAACAGCAACCTGTTGCTGACTCTTTCTGAAGTGCAACGAGTAAACCTGCTTTTCCTGTATCAGCCAATCTATTCAATGTAAATCGTTAAACCCATAGGAAAGAAGGTTCCATCGAAGGCATTTGCATTTCACAGTATATCCTGTGAAGCACTTTTGAGATATCCTCCCGACGTAAATGCGCTATATCAAATGCAAGGATTTATTTTATTATTATTTCATATTGAGCTTGGCTCAGTGGTAGCACTCTCATCTCTAAGTCAGAAGGTTGTGAGTTTAAGCCCCACGACTTGGAATCGCATAGTCTTACCTTGAACAGTTAAAATAAAACTGCCCCATCTGACCAAATTACGCTGGACTTTTTAAATGTGGCTATGCTTACTGGAGGTATGTGGGGTATTCTGGAGGGATGAGACCAAATAGGCTGAAAAGTCTTCTTCTGTACCTCCTGTGATTTTGTGTGTATTAAACTCTGTAACAAAGTGAAACTGTTTAATTTATTGAGACCTCATTGCCAAGACTAATATTAAGGGAAAACTCCTTCAAGATCTTTTCTGATGATTGTGTGCATAACAAAGTTAATTTGTAGTATAACATGGATTGTTTTGCAACATTTGCAAATCCATTTGGCCTCCAGATTAGCCTAAAAACAAGGGATATACTCTAGGCTGATAGTCCATTGTAGTATTGATGGTGTGCTGCATTGTCAGAGATATTATTATCCTTCGGAAAAGACATTAAATCAAGGTAGTGTTTGCCTGTTCAGGTGGACATCAAAGATCACGTGACACTATTCAAAAAGGAAATGTCGAGACTCCTGGTGTCCTGGCAAATAATCACCCAAATAAAATTGGTCACTCACTCCATGACTGTATGTAAGACAACACTGTGTGCAAATTGGCTACAGCATTCAATTATACTGCAAATGATTATCATCCGCTCTCTTCCTGTCGCTCTCCGCACTGCCTCAGACCTCCTGCTCCAGCTCTCTTCCTGCCACAAACACCGGCAATATTTTCACTTGGGAAACTGACATGTAATCACAGGTGTTTGCAATGCCTTCCGGGAGTTGTAGCCGCTCTGCCAAATTCAGCGGATCAAAGAACTTTAGCTTCTCCGAAAGCATCACCTGACAGGTAGTGACTGACTTCTTGTTTCATCAACGAGAAAAGAGATGGAATGTGAGGTATGAGGCCTCGCAGAGAGCGATGGGCTGGCTTGGGCACCAATTGAGTGGGCCATGGAACTCACTTTCTTGGCAACTTGAACTGCCCAAATGTAACTCAGCTATCCTTAATATCATGGTTCCCTTTTTGTTAGTTCAGGCGGATGCATGCAGATCAGCACGTCCTCACTCACCTGATAGCTGTTTAATCGTCCAGGTTCAGTCCTGGACACCCGCCCGTGGGCGGACTCTAATCAGGACAATACAGGACTGTTATATCAACAATTAACACACCAAGCTACAGCTGTATAACAAATTTGCTTCTTAGCCAATTTAACTCTTCAAGGCACTGCTCATTGACACCTTCTGATCTGCAGAGATTCCAGGCACCTTCTAAAACCTGTCACACTTAGATGTTCTGCAACTCAGCTCAGTGAAATTAGAACAATATTTTCTGCAAGTCATCTTGTCACAGCTAATGAACAAACACTCTTCTTTTAATCAACACTGAAACAATATTTGTAATCAAGGTTGTGATTCTACAAATCAGCCTGTATCTAACATAAGCAGTTTAAATATACAGTCAATTCACTTTGTGGTATATTCTGTGAAGCGCTTTGAGATGCCTTGAAGATGTGTTTAGGCTCTATATCAAATGCATTATTATTATAATTATTATAAGAGTACCTAAGTTAATAACACAGAAATTCATTTCTAATCAAAACAAGCATACCTTACACAATAATTCATATCTTGCAAGTGAGAGACTTGGGTTTGATTCCTGGCAGGACGAAATATTGGGCAAGTTTCCTTACTCCACATGTTTCTGTTTACCTAGCAGTAAGTAGGAACCCGTTTGTTAGTTGATTGGTGGATCACTTTACCAGAGGTAATAATTCCCTCAAAAAAATAATAAATTGGTCACTTCAAACCACAACTGTTGTGGGACACTACTGTGTGCAATTGGCTGCCACATTTCGCCCACAAAATATACAGTCAATTCACTTTACATTATATTCTGTGAAGCGCTTTGAGACGTCTCAAAGACATGATAAACAACTATATCAAATGCAAGAATTATTATGATCTAACTTACCTAAAAAAATCAGTTTTGATAACTACATTCTTTAAATATGTTCAGGGTCCATGATTATTTACCCATTACTAAAGTTGCTCTCCTAAATGATTTTAACAAAGAATACTTTTAGAATGTTTAGTTTTGATATGAATATATCCTCCTGAAAGACATCCTGGTACGTAACCTGCCTCCTTGGGGAGAGTGGAGGGCAGGGGGCGAAGGACGGTGATCAAAGGCAAAGTCGAAGAGGAGGGTCTTGAGATAGGTCTTCAAGAAGACAAGGGAGGGGGCAAGGTGGAGGGACTGCGGGATGGAGTTCCAGTATGGGGGTGCAGAGTGGCTGAAGGCCCACCCGCCAATGGTGAGGCGGGCGAGGCGGAGGGTCATGAAACAGGCTGGAGCCCACTGAGCGGAGAGGTGATATGGAAGGCTTTGAAGGTGAGGACCAGGATCTTGAACAGTATCCTCTGTGTGATAGGAAGCCAGTGGAATCGGGCGAGGATGGGGGGGTGATAGAGTCCAGAGCCTGGTGTGGGAGAGGACAGGGGCTTCAGAGTGCTGAATGTCTGCAGCCTATGGAGGGAGAAGTTGGGGAGGCCAACAAGCAAGGAGTCTGCATAGTCAAGCCTGGGTGTTATGAATGCGTGTATGAGGGTTTCGGTGGCCTTCGGTATTAGACATTGGCAGAGACGGGCAATGTTGTGGAGGTGGGGGAAGGCAGAACAGGTCATGGCACGGATGTGGGGTAGAAAGGATAGTTGAGGGTCAAGGTTCTGAACTGGCTCAATGAGGTGGAGTGTGCATCCTTGGATGGTGATTCTGTCAATGGCTGAGGTGTGGAGGCACTAATGGGAGCCAATCAGGAGTGCCTCGGTCTTGTTGATGTTCAACTGAAGAAAGTTAGCTCTCATCCAGGACTTGATGTCTGACAGACATTCTGTCAGGACAGCAGTGGTCCTCGAGTCAAGGGTGAAGGTTGAGGTGAGAGGAGAGGCGATGGAGGAGTCCAACGTGGTCAACAGTATCAAACGCAGCAGAGAGGTCAAGGAGGACAAGAAGGCAGAGGGAGCCCTGGTCGCAGATGGACAAGATGTCGTTTGTTACTTTGACCAAAGCTGTTTCTGTGCTGTGGGCGTCACAGAAACCCGATTGGAGGGGTTCGTGAAGGGAGTGGCGGGAGAGGAAGGAGCGAAGCTGGGTAACAATGACTCATTTCAGGACCTTGAAAAGGAAAGGGAGGTTGGAGATGGGGAGGTAGTTTGAGAGCAGTGATGGGTCCAAGGAGGATTTTTCATAGATATGAGTGATGACGGCCATTTTTAAAGGGGTGGAAACGCTGTCAGTGGACAGGGAGAGGTTTATTATGTCTGTGAGTAGAGCGGCAAGGAGGTTGAGCTGGGAGGTAAGGAGAAGGGTAGGGATGATGTCGAGAGAACAGGTGGTCGGTTTCATGCGGGTTATAATGGTGATGAGAGAGGAATGGGAGGCAGGTTCGAAGGTGTGGAGGGAGGGATTGATAGAGGCCAGTTTGTGAGGGGCAGAAGGGGAGAGGGGCTAGTAGACGAAAGGGCAGAGGCAGCTGAGCAGAACCCCTCGACTTTGGTTTCGAGGAAGTCCAGCATTGCCTCACAGTTGGCATTGGGATGAGGATGGTTGAGGCATGAGAGGGTGGGCGGAAGTTGGTGATGGAGAAGAGAAACCTGGGGTTGTCCTTGGCCCCCAAGATTGTCTTAGAGTGGAAAGACAATTTAGCATAGGCGAGGGCGTAGTGGTAAGATTTGATAAGGTCCACCCAGATCTGCCGATGGACCGTTAAGTTGGATTTGAGCCAGATTTCTGTTGCTGAATGAGAGTTGAAACTCAAAAAATAATGTAATTGCCATTATTTGCAGGCTTGAGACAATCAAATCCATCCTGGATCCATCCAGCAATACAATCCATTATGTACTACGCACTTGCCACCAATGTGCCAAATGGATTGTGTATATTTTATGGTTGCATTTGGATTCAAGGAATATAAGCCATGATATCCGGTTGGGGGAGGGCGTGGTGGGGTATGGAAAAAGGCAAAGAAACTCAAACGATCACATATTATTTTATATACAGAATTTATTACTTCACTGGTCCTGAACATTGTCATAAGCTGCAAGAGTCCACACCTCTATCAACTTAACAAAGGGCAGCACACACAGTTTACATTTGGTGTATTCCTGCAGACCATTCATTAAACAGAATCGTTCTCAAACAGGCATTTCTTTGGAACTGGTCATGATTTTACCAACTAGGCCATTAGAGGAGAAACAAAGTGTTAAGCAATGTACCAAAGCTTTGCTCCTGGATGTTTTTAGCAAAGAAAACTTTCAGGATGTATAGTTTTGACATGGTCTAAAACCTAGGATCACCAAACCTGTCATTTCACAAATCCGATTGGCTCTGGATGGCAATCCCACCCTCCTATCATTAATTTGTGGCTTGAGACATGGAAGATACCCGACTGGCTATATAGAACTGTCATTCATCATCTATGATGTCATGGGAGCTTGTCCTGAGCAGTATAAATACAAGAGTTTGTGGCCAAAGGTTTATATTGTTTTTTTTTTTGGAGGGGATTAAATTTTTTTGGTGAAAATAGAACTCAAGATGGTCTCCCAAGTGAGTCAGAATTACCACAAGGACTGTGAGGCTGCTGTCAACAAGCAGATCAACTTGGAGCTCTATTCCTCCTATGTTTATCTTTCCATGGTGAGTATTTTTTGTATAGAATGGGTCATTTCCATGTGGTTCTGAGAGGATTTCATTTGAAGTGAATTGGGTATAAATGTATAATGTCATTTAAATTTTAGCCTTAATTGTAACTGGTATTCCTAAACTGTTATCTAAGATGGATTAATACTGAAGGAGTTGCTTATTGGCATCCATGTCTATATAATAATGAAGTAGATGATTCTAACTGACCTGATTGAACTTAATTTTCTTTGTAATGAATTGATCTCAAACTCGTGAAATCTGGGCATAGACTAATAAAAGTTGACCAGTTTCGTTTAATTTATTCCTGAGTCAGTCAAAACTGAAATTTAGAGAATCTGTAACATTTTTAAACTTGATTAAAATTAAATCTTGATTTCTTACAATATGAAGAGGTATGAGTTGGTAACCACTAACTACTATTAACTGCTATAAATTGTTGCATTTCGATCGGCAGCATGAAGTTATAGGTTTAATGTCCTACTTTAGTTTTTATGTACTATTAAAACTCCCAAGTGTGGAGAGAAATCTTTATTAAACTGAAGCAAACTCAAACCTTCTGCAACTGAATTTATACTGATCTACCTCCTGTAGTTACAAGATTCCCCAAATGTACCTAACTGAAAATGCCCCTATTTTAAATTCTAAATGGCTCTAAATCAGGCATATATTCTGTTCTCCCTGTAGCATATAAATGCTTTCGATTCTCTTTATAGTCCTGTTACTTTGACTGGGATGTCATGTAATCTTACAATGGCAAATCGATTGGAAGCACATCTCCCATTCTCTCTGCAGGCCTATTACTTTGACCGGGATGATGTTGCCCTGTCCCACTTTGTCGAGTTCTTCAAGAAGCAGTCGCATGAGGAATGTGACCATGCCGAGAAGCTGATGAAATTCCAGAACCGACGTGGAGGACGGATCCTCCTGAAAGACATCCAGGTGAGTGACCAGGAGGGAATTCGTGATGGGTCTCAGTTAATTGAGTTGCCCGTTTCATTGTCAGTACGCTGTTTCAGAAAACTGATTTGGACAAACTCAACATACAATTTCCTTTAATCAGCCATTTGGAAGTGTAATTTTATTTAATGGGTTTGGAGAATGGAGTGGTGTAACCACTTTTAAGGACAATATGATTGTCTCAATTGCGAATTATGGCAATCATTGTTCATGCACGGTGTCAAACTGGATTTTAAAAGACTTTTTGTCTTATCTGTTCTTTGCTTCTATCCCTTTTGTCCCTGAGGATATTTTCTCAATCCCATGCATTTTATAGTCTGTTTTGTCAGATGTTAGATGTTAGATCAGCCTTGAGAAGACCATTTCACTGGCCAGCCTCATATTGCAATGTCTTCATAATTACACAAGTGAAATCTAGTGCCTTGTTTAATCAAATTTGCCACAATGTGACAAATGATGATTCTGTTGTATTTCTGTCTAGGTCATATCAATGATTTCTTACAAAACGTTAAATCTGACTCCATTAACTCAGCCTAAATTTAGATTGAGAATCCCAAAAGCCAACATTCCCTGGTGACTATTATTCTTTCCTTCTTCAGAAACCTGAGCAGGACGAGTGGAGCAATGGTTTAACTGCAATACAAAAAGCTTTGCAGTTGGAGAAGAATGTAAACCAGAGTCTTTTGGATCTACATAAACTGGCTACAGAGAGGGCTGATCCTCATGTAAGTATTTGCCCAGAACAATGAATGGGGAGGATTATTGGTTAGGTAAAAGGGTGACTATGATAGCTCTAATCTGGTATAGCATTTTTTTAAATATAAAAATCTGGTTTTGTAAACCTAGTCTCCCTCAAAACAATGGTCTGTTGTGGAGTACAGTTGCTATTGTCCACAATATCTTGGGCTACTTGGTACAAGTTAATTTAAACTACCCTAATTTTACAATGTAAACCAAAGTTTTCAAACCTACTTCCAACTGGCAATTGTATAAGATGGAGTAATTTGAGCCCTATATCTAATTTCTCTGTTGCAGTTATGTGACTTTCTGGAGACCCATTATTTGGATGATGCAGTGAAGTCCATCAAGAAACTTGGAGATTACATCACTAGCCTGAAACATCTGGGAGCCCCTGGGAATGGCATGGCTGAATATCTGTTTGACAAGCACACCTTGGGAGAGATTTAAACTGATGTTTCGAAACTATGCTGTTAAATGACTGGGATCTGTAATGAAAACCAGGAATTGAAGTGGCTGCAAATAAAAAAAATTATTGTATGAATTTTGGACTTCTACTGAATAGTTTCTAAGGTTATAGCACCTTTCCACATTGGGAGGGTGATTCAAGGTGTTTTATGTTGGGTACTTGAGGAGCATGAGTGATGCTTCAAATGGCCAAGCTTGACATAGCAGGCCAGTGCTTGCTGAGCAGTAGGTGTAGCTGAAATGGAGCTTTGGTCGCGTTAAGCAATGGTGCTTCGTCACGTCATCCTCAACAAAACTTTTTTTATTCACCACTTGTGTTTTCAAGTTAGGCTACAATGTGATAGCTTACTTTAAGTACTACTCACAATAACACAATGTTCAAAGAAAGGAAAATCAGTTTCTTGCCTTCCAAGGGTACTAAGTGAGCATGAAGTTCACACTGTAGCACCCAATAGTTCCTTAAATGTCCCATTGCAGCTATTTATCTTGGATGAATATTTAGCTAAAATGTCAGTAATTCAGTTCCTGAGCCAGGCAGATATGCACTACCTCCACAGCACTAATGACTAGTGTTAATAACAGTTTTTTTAAAAAAAAAGTTGAAGCAAAAGAATTGGATTGCGTGACCATTTATTGAGGGTCATGATTTAGTCCACTCTGCTCCTACTAACTCTATAAACCAGAGATCTAATTGGTAGGGTTTTTCCAGCTCAACTGCAAGTCAAAGCCTTATTGGGTAGGGTGGTCTTACCTGGACAAGCTCACTAACACATTTAATTGCTAAAGGAAAAAACATAACTTTGCATTCATCCAGTAAACAGTAAATGAGTTCATGAGCAGCAGATGAACTCCTGTTTGGGAAAAACTGAAAATGGTTGACATTTAATCCCTTGCAGCTGTGTTCTTGTTTAGTCAAAGTCTTCTTCCAATGTTACTGGAATCTTGGATATTCAAGAGGCTTGAGTCTTAAGTGGGTGTTCTGCCTTCCTAGAGGAGCAAAAAATGAACTTGCTTTCTTGGCAACTTGAACTGCCCAAGTGTAACTCAGCTATCCTTAATATCATGGTTCCCTTTTTGTTAGTTCAGGCTGATGCATGCAGATCAGCACGTCCTCACTCACCTGATAGCTGTTTAATCGGCCAGGTTCAGTCCTGGACACCCGCCCATGGGCGGACTCTAATCAGGACAATACAGGACCATTATATCAACAATTAACACACCAAGCTACAGCTGTATAACAAATTTGCTTCTTAGCCAATTTAACTCTTCAAGGCACTGCTCATTGGCACCTTCTGATCTGCAGAGATTCCAGGCACCTTCTAACACCTGTCACACTTAGATGTTCTGCAATTCAGCTCAGTGAAATTAGAACAATATTTTCTGCAAGTCATCTTGACAAAGCTAACGAGCATTCACTTCTTCTAGTCGAGATTGAAACAACATTTATAATGAAGATGGTATTTCTACAAATCAACTTCACACTAACAAACATAAGTATACCTAACTTCATAACATAGTGATTCACTTCTGATCAAAAGAAGCATACCTAACTTATCTTGGTGGAACAGGCTTATGGAGATAAATGGCTTACTCCTGTTCCTATTGTCTTAGCAAATTAATTCCTATTTTCGCCTCTGAGACAGAAGTCTCTGAGTCCTGTAGCTCAGTGGTTAGAGCACTCGCTTTGCAAGTGAGAGACCTGAGTTCAATTCCAGGCAGGGCGAAACGTTGGGCAAGTTTCCTTACTCCACACGCCTAATAATAATCCCTCCAAAAAACAAAAACAACAATAAATTGGTCATTTTCAATCTACGACTGTTTGTGGGACATTGCTGTGCGCAATTGGCTGCCGCGTTCGCCCACAAATATACAGTCAATTCACTTTACAGTATATTCTGTGAAGCGCCTTGGGACGTCTAGAAGATGTGAAAAGCGCTATATCAAATGCAAGGATTATTATTATTATTATAGAAAGTTGTGGGTTCAAGCCTCACATCAGAAATTGAATCACATATTCTAAGATGACACTCCAATGCAATGCTGGGAGGTGTTGCATTGTCAAAGGTGCTATCCTTCAGACATGAAGTTGAACCGAGGTTCTGTCTGTCTGTTCAGGTGGACATTAAAGATCCTATGACATTATTCGAAAAGAGAAGGGAGTTTCTCCTGGTGTCCTGACCAATAATAGAATTGGTCACTCATTCCATGGCTATGGCTGAGACATTGCTGTGTGCAAACTGGCTGCCGCATTTCACCTACAAAATACACAGCGAATCTACTTGACGGTATATTCTGTTCTCCTTCAAGACCCAAGTATATTCTATTTCCTTCAAGACCCATCTCAAGACCTTCCTTTTCGACCATGTTTTCGATCACTATGCTTCCCTCCCTACCCTTCACCCTCCCCAATCCTGACCCCTAGCTCGGATCTGAATCTCTGAATGTCCAGTGTCTTGGGATATCCTCCTGACGTAAAAGGCACTATACAAATGTAATTTTATTGTTGTTGTTGTATTCCGTGAAGCGCTTTGCGATTTCTCGACGCTACGATAAGACACTATATCAAGTGCAAGGATTGTTATTATTGATGAGACATTAAATTAAAGTCCTGTCTGCTGGTTCATTGGCTGATTCTCTAGGAGTCCAACTGTCCTCCATTTAATCACCCATTCACCTTGTAGCTGTTTCGGAACATTCTTACCTGATATTTCCCATCTAAGTATTTGCAAACTAAATAGTTGGGATAACTGGATAACTACCTAGAGTAGGATCCCACGATGAACTTCCTCTAAACACAGTTCTGGCACCAAGTATAGAAACCCTGCACCTACCACTACAGGATACCAACACCATCATGGCCAATTGGGGACCGAACCTGGGTCCTTCCGCTCTGAACCATTCGGACAGTTTATAATTGATGTATTCCTGCACACTGTTCATTATACACAGACATTTCTATGGAACTGGTTGTGATTTCACCAAAAAGGACATCAGAGGAGAAATAAAGTGTAATATAATGAACCAAATTTGTGCTTCAGAATGGTTTTAACCAAGAAAACTTTTAGATTGTGTTGTGATGAGATGATCTAAAACCCAAGATATATGACATCATTAGTGAACATTCACCAAGCCCTACTTTAATCACAACTCCCATTAGGTCTGGATGGCATACCGGCCCTTCTCTCACTAATTGGTTGCTTGAGACATAGAAGATAACCAACTGGCTATTATTGACTGTCACTCATCATCATTGGTGAACATCTCTGCCTTTAAAGATGGGCTGTCCTGAGTAAGCTAGATCCAAGAGATTGTGAGGACAGTTGTGGAGTTTTTGCCTGACTAATTTTACAGAATCAATTCAGAATGCCTTCTCAAATCAGTCAGAATTATGACAAGGACTGTGAGGCTGCTGTTAACAAGCAGATTAATATGGAGCTCTATTCCTCCTATGTTTACATTTCCATGGTGAGTGAAAGTTATGGTTGTCTTTATAGAATTATTTTTTCATTTGGGTAAAATGGTACTACTGTCATGCTTTATTGTTTAACATTTAATCATGGTTTTGATGAGTTTTAGTTCTTATTGTGACTGAATGCTCCCTGCAATACAGATAGTGGTGGCTTCATTCTGGGGGAGATACTTATTGATGTTCATAAGTATAATAATGAAATGAGTGCTGCTTAATTGACCTATTTGAAATGTGGTTTACCTTGTATTTTTACAGAGAACATCCCTAAATGATAACGCCTGTGGTTGTTCTGTTGGAACACGATAGGGAGTAATGGTTTTAGTATCCTTATTGCAAACAAACTTTGACCTAAACCATGGTTTTCTCTCCTCTCTGCAGTCCTTTTACTTTGACCGGGATGATGTTGCTTTGCATCACTTTGTAGAGTTCTTCAAGCGGCAGTCAAATGTACATGCTGAAAAGCTGATGAAATTCCAGAATAGGCGTGGAGGTCGCATTGTCCTGAAAGACATTCAGGTAAGTGATGAAGAGGGGCCTGTCAGTAATTACACAAGAGTCCACAACTTCTGTCAATTTGAGGCCCAATTAGTCTTGCTGGGGGAGGGCTACAAATTGGAGCACATAATGGTAATGTAATTGTTAGGTCTAACTTTAAAAGCAGCTGTCTCCTGAGTTAAATCAGCAATAAAATCCATTGTGCAATCTAAGTAGGCAGCAATTTCAAGTGTATTAGTTTTTGCAGGTCAATTTGAATGTGAGGCATAAAAGGGGGGGGGAAGAGGAATTTTTTTTATTGCATTTTACCAATTGCTAATGATCCTTGCTTTCATACCTGATGAATGGTTGACAATACAACGCAACCTTTATTACGCTATGAGGCTCGTATAGATCATAAACTTCAATCCAAGCTTTATCAAACTTTTTTTAAAAGAAGAATTAGAGGGGATCTTATACAAACCTATAAGATCATCAAAGGGCATGATAGAGTAGATAGTGGGAGATTGTTTCCCCTGGTTGGAGAAACTAAAACCAGGGGTCACAACCTTAAAATCAGAGGCCAGCCCTTTCGCACTGAGTTGAGGAAGAACTTCTTCACTCAAAGGGTGGTGAATGTATGGAACTCACTACCCCAAAGGGCTGTTGACGCTCAGTCCTTGAACATATTCAAGACTGAGATAGATAGATTTCTTATTGCAAAAGGGATTAAGGGATATGGGGATAAGGCAGAGTCAGGTTATTAGCTGGAGTTAGATTAGAAGATCAGCCATGATTGAATGGTGGGGCAGGCTCGAAGGGCCGAATGGCCTACTCCTGCTCCTACATGTTATGTTAAAAAGCTAAACCTCCATAATTTGACTTCAATCTATTTCCCTGTAAAGAAACCTGAGCAGGATGAGTGGGGCAATGGTCTAGAGGCAATGCAAAAAGCTCTGCAACTGGAGAAGAATATTAACCAGAGTCTGCTGGATCTGCACAAACTGGCCATGGAGAAGAATGATCCTAATGTAAGTTTATTTTATTGTTTGTGGGTTTTTTCCCCAGAAAAATGAACTTATTGGAGGGACTAGAGTATCTAACCTGACAAGTTTTAATCTGACAAAGTTTAATAAAAAGCGCTTGGGGAATCCTATCCTGTGTAGTAAACCAAAAATCACTCCTAAAGACGATGGTCTGCTATAGACTGGGATTGTGCTTGCCTACGCTTCACAGTAAAATTGTGTGAAGCATTTCAAGATGTCTTCCTGACATGCAAAGATTAATACTACATCTCACAATTTCCCATGTTTTACCCAGTTAAACCTGGACTTGATTGCAACGCAGCAGAGCATAATCCATGGTGGTTTAATCTCCTAATTCAACTCCTGAATTTGTTGTTTTGTCAAGAAGTAGCCCTCTTGGTATATTCTGTGAAGCGCTTTGAGACATCTTGAAAACGTGATAAGGCACTATATCAAATGCAAGGATTATTTTTACTATTAATGTGAAATGTGTAATTTCATGAACACTACTTATACCAAGATGTCCACAGAAGAAAGGCAAGTTTAGTAATGCAAGTTAAGAACCTCCAAAATGAAATAGTTCTATCTTGTTCCCTTTAAATTTGGTACCTAATTTCTCTCCTGCAGTTGTGTGACTTTCTGGAGACCTATTATTTAGTTGGAAAAGTTGAGAGAATCAAGGAAATTGGGGATCACATCACCAATCTGAAGAGACTGAATGTCCCTGAGAATGGCATGGGGGAATATCTATTTGAAAAACACACCCTGAAGAAGAGTGACTGAAAAGGATCAAGTTTCATCTGTCTGCTGTTATTATCTGTAACAAAATGGAAAATGAAAAATAAAACAATGAATGAACTTTGGTTTTTGTTTCTTGCTATTTGATTTCTTTTTAGAGAAATCAAGCTAACCAACAAATTCCGTTTATAAAGCACCCTTTACATCAGGTAAACATTCCAAGGTGCTGGACAGTTGAGGATTTGCACCTGAGCTGGGAGTTGGTGTCAAGTGAGGTGGAAGTGGGAGGATGATTGAAGACACGGTTGATGAGGAAGATCTTGGGATGGACCTTTGATTGGGTCCATTAAAGGCACTCCAGAATGGAGTTCTGTGCGTGGGAGGCTGAAGGGTTGACTGCTGTTGACTGCAGCCCCCAGGCACTGGAGCAGGCCAGTGCCTGGGGGCTGCAGGTTATAAGGTTTAAATGGGTTGTCTGGTGAGCAGTGAGGTAGCGTAGTCCAGCCTGGATGTGATGAAAACATGGATGAGGGTCTTAGCAGGCTAAGAGGAGAGGTTGTAATGGAGGAGGGCAATGTGGCAGAAGTGGGCAATGATGTGGCAGAGGTGGGGGAAGGCTGGTTGGGTTATGGCATAGATGTGGGATTTAAAAGACAGTAGAGGGTTGAAAAAGACACCAAGGTTCTGTGGGGATTGGTGAGGCACTGACAGTATTACATGAATTGTAATACAGTCAGTGCCTGAGGTGAGGAGGGAGCCAAGCAGGAAAGCCTCAGTCTTGTCAACATTCAACTGGAGAAAGTTGACTCTCAACAAGTTGGCACTTGATTTTGACAGCTATTCCATCATGACAGCAGTGATCTTGCAGTCAAGGATGGAGGCAGAAAGATAAGAGTCGAGTGTCATCTGTATACATGTGCAAGTTAGCCCCATGTCTGCAGATGATACCACCTTTGGTTTAATTATATTCAATGCAACAACCTTGAATATATTGTAACAGCCTCTCCCTGCAATATAGTCAGTGATGGCTTATACTTACTGGTGTTTGAAATAATGAAACTTTTATAATTTAAAATTGTTAAATGGGTTAATATTTCCTAATAGAATTGAGTAGCCCTTTTCCAGAGAAATCTGATTCTGTGTGCATTGATTGTTGATCCTCATAACAGCTTAGCTAAAGTACACAGTTTGTGAATGTGTTAAGCCTTTTATTCTAGACAATTTGATCAGCTGATTCAAGTGTTCTTGGACATGCCTATATTAAAATCATAACTAGGCGCATGAAGTGGAACAGGAAACATCAGGAGGAGAAAATTTTTTTTTACTGTTGAAATCTTTAAAAGTAAGAACACTTAGATGCATTCATAAATAACATAGAATATAGCATTGTGGATCAGAGCTCCATCATATCAAGCAAATCCCATGAATCCTGTTGCCAAGACCACCTTGAAGAGGTATTTACAGCCGTAATATATACACAATAGATAAGAATAGGTTCAGATGATTCCACTGGATCAAAAAATTCAACTAATTATTTATGGCTGATAAATTCTTTAATAGCATTTAAGAAATAACACTAGCAACTGGCCAATACAGTTACAAGCACAAAGTATAAATTGGCCAATGGAATTGAAAGTGAAATTCATAAAACTGAAGTCATGATCCAAATTAGCTATTTAAATTTTGAAATTTGCTACCAAATTGACTTAAAGGAGGGGAAACCTAAATGGGGGAAATTGCAATCTCAAATGGTTTGCATTCAGCATTTTGCCTTTGAAAATTGTTGGATGTTAGACCATTTCTTAACTGAGAAATGGCCCCAAAGTAAGCTGTAGATATGGTATTGTAAATTTTGAACTTTCAATCCAAAAGACCAGTGATTTCAGAAGTATAATTGGCACATAAGAAATCTTCTCGAAGGACCTAGGCCCATGGTCAGAAGAACACGCTCACATTTTCTATGATTGGAATTTACAGGTAAGCATCTGACTCCCGGTAAACAGACAATGGTATCTGTGCATCATGTGGTAATAGACAGTTATATTTAGTGGAAATTACAATTTACACAGTGATAGCATCTGATACGTGTTTGTATGATTGTATATATCTAGTATGTTGCCTTCTCTCCTCAAGCTCCACAATTGCATTTTTTTTTAAAAAACTATACTTCAGAACAATGCAATAAAAATATCACAGTGAAACAAACAATATCAAAGCTGTTCAGACAATGTGCATCTAAATCCTTAATGAATGTTTACACAAGTATATGAAGAATTACTGCTGCATAAGCCAAGATTAAAGTAGCTTCTGCTGTTCTTGAATGCTATAGAAAAATAGAGGCATGCATAGGCATAAAACTTTTGGTTAAGCAAAACATTTCAATTATTGAGAAAACAGTTGACACGAGGGAAAGAGGATTTGATTCCCTGATCATTGGTAAATTTACCAACATAGCCTGGCATTCTTGCATATTTCAAAATAGCAGGCCCATATATTCCATAGATGAGATAAACATTTGCCAAAGGAAAAGCTGAGAGATCTAGAGGGTTAGTTGAATCATTGCTCAACATTGTAAAAATCATGTGAAGCAGCATTAAATGGTGCAAACAACATGTTGGGTTAAATTGCCAAATCAGATTTGTTCACATGCCCAAATGTCATGCTGAAGCTCTACAAAAGGTCAGAAAGAAAACTTAACAAAACTTTCAGATACCTCAAAGCAATATACCTTCAAGGGAACAGGTTCAGGGTTTCAAAAGGTTATTTCACGGCAGGAACTGGGAAGTATTTCTTTACCCAGAGAGCGATTAACAGCTAGAACAGGTGACCAGGAGGGGTTGTTTAGGCTAGGATGTTGAATTCATTTAAGAAAAGATTTGCTGCTTTATTGGGAGGACAGTTGGGTGAGTATTCTGGAAGAATGAGATCAACAGAGCTTAAGGGCTTTCTTCATTTAAACCTCTTGTGATATACTTTTAACAAATTGCATATATATATATATAGCTCCTTTCAAGTCGTGAAGATGTGCCAAGGCGGTGGACGGTGAGGGGTTCGCACCTGAGCTGGGATTGAAGTCAAGAGGGTTGGAAGGCAAAGCGAGTGGAGGTTGGAAGATGATGAAGGCATGGTCAAAGAAGAAGGTCTTAAGACAGGCCTTGAAGGGGGCAATGAAGGGGGCAAGGCAGAGAGCTTCTGAAATGGTTCTAGAGGGTGCGGACAGAAAGGCTGAAGGCCCGACTGCTAATGGTAGAGCGGGCAGGGTGGGGGATATGGAACAAGCCAGTACCCGCCAAGCAGAGGGCGCAGATAGGTTGATAATGCTTTAATAGTTCACAAAGGTAGGCAGGAAAAAGACCTTGGAGGTCTGAGTGAGGACGAAGATCTTGAACTCGATCTCTGGGAGATGGGTGCCAGTGAAGGTGGGTGAGGATGGGGGATGATTGGCTCGCGGAGCTCAGTGTGGGAGAGAACACAAGCTGCACAGTTCTAAATAATCTGCAGCTTGTGGAGGTAAAAGTTGGGCAGTCCTGTGAGCAGGGAGTTAGCATAATTAAGCCTAGACATAATGAAAGCATGGATAAGGGCCATGGCAACCTGAGGGGTGAGACAGTGGCGGAGGCGGGCAATGTTGCGGAGGTGGGGGAAGGCGGAACAGGTCATGACATGGATGTGGGACTTAAAAGACAGCTGAGGGTTGAACAAGACACCAAGATTCCATACTGACTCAGTGAGATGAGAGTGCATCCATGAACATGCCTGAGTTGAGGTGGTGCTGATTGGAGGCAAACAGGAGGACGTCGGTCTTTTAACATTCAACTTTTGAAAATTGGCTCTCATCCACGACTTGATGTCTGACAGACAATCTGTCAGGACAGAAGTGCTCTTGGAGTTGAGGTTAATGGTGTGCAGTTAGCAAAGCAGTTTATTGGCCCGGGAAATTCTAAGCAGTCGACTGTTCATGGTGTCAAATTCATACAAATATTGCCCATGAAATAAGTAAGTGTATCCTGTAGAGAAAAAATACAAAAGGTAACTCGGGTTTCATACACTCATGCAACATCTAACACAATTTGAAAACTACTAACTATACTCTCAAATGTGCATATTGCACTTTTAGGATAGTTTTAATCAGATGGAGTCTCCTAAGGCTTTTTGAAGAAATAATAATGAACATTCACACAGATATATCACACTCCAGTTGATGAAATTCAGAAATTAAAGCCATGAATCAATTTTTATTAAAAGAATTAAACTGTTTTAAATAGACAGCTACAAGGCTCTAATCCAAGGTCTAGAATGCTAATCTGCAATTTAGGGAGGTGTTTTCACTTAAACTGTGTATCTTTACTCATCTTTTCCCTGCTTCAAAACGTCAGTTGCCTACTTAATTTAACTATATTTAGCAACTGGTAATTTGAAAATTTAAATTAACAGTTAATGAATAGAGCGTTTGGAAGAACTCAGAATTGCTTTTCAACAAAGTAATAAGATGAAAATATAAAGATACAACAAATAATAACAAATCATAATAATATATAAACACAGAAGTCGCTGGGAACACACAGCAGGTCAGGCGGCATCCATGAAAAAAGGAAAATTAGTTAACGTTTCAGGTCTATGACCTTTCATCATATAATAATTCTTGTTTTTGATAGCCTTAGGCCCTTTGAAAGGCCTTATTTCAAAGAGCACATAAGTTACCACAACAGCCATGACTCTTTCATCTGAATTGGGATCACACCAAAAACATTAGCTTTCCTTTTTCATTCACCGATCAACCTTCTGCGTATTTTTAGTTTGATTTTTGTCTTCCAGCATTCACGTTTTTTTGTTTTTTAACCTGCCATCCGATCTCTACTGAGTAAGAGCCCAGACCAGAAAGCTTTCTGTGATTTTGCACAGTGTGTCAATCTCAGATCAGCAAATAGAGAGTATCGACATCAGTGGCAGCTGTGATGGAATGCATATGTAGTCAGAGCTATCAGGGACGTTGTGACAACCCAGCTAACCAATTGAATGAATGTTGAGCCCCCTATTCCCCAGTAAATCAACTTTAAAATCCTCATTCTTATCTTCAAATTCCTCCATGGCCATGCCCCACCCTTCTTATGATCTTTTGCCGTCGTACTCCCCCATCCACTATTTTCACTCTTCCAACTCTGACATGTTTCATGTCCCCACTTGCTTCACCCCAACATTGGTGAGTGAGCTTTCAGCCACTCTGGCCCCTTTGGAACTCTCTCCCTAAACCCTCTACCTCTGCTTTGAAAATCCATTTATCCCTGTACTAATATTGTACCTTCAGTATTTCTTGCTCTTCCTTCTTTAAGAAACATCATTGTTGTTCAGTTGCCACCATGCTTATGTTACACAATACTATTTACTAGAAACTAAATTTTATCTCCTTCCCAATCTAAAAGTGTCCATTTAGTTTCATTACAGGTCATTGAGAAAATCTGACGTAGAATCTTTATGGAAACATACCACGACTTTCAAAGGCTGCATCCACCCTGCCATCAATTCCTGGCCAGTCATCCATGATTTGTTTTGGGTAACCTTTATCCATGGTTTGCTTAATTTCATCATAACTGAAAGGAAACAATGCAATTAATGCCAAAAATATTGGTCCCTGTATGACAAAAAAAAATTGCTGCCAATTTTCCCCTTCTCCAACAAAACATCTGATCCCTTTTCTTTCCTTTTGGGTCCCCAAGTTTCGGCTTTTGCCAACTTGCACCTAACAGTCTAAAAGTGAGTCCGCTTGGCTCAGTTGGTAGCGCTCTTGTCTCTGAGTCAGAAGGTTGTGGTTGAAGATTGTCAGAAACTTGAACTCATATAGTCTAGGCTGAAACTCCAGTGCAGTGCCGGGGGTGAGACTGAATTGCTGGAGGTGCTATCTTTCACGTAAGAAAAGAGAAGGGAGTTTCTCCCATCATCCTGGCCAACATTCCCCCAAATAAAATTGGTCTATCACTTCATGGTTGTGTGTGGCACTTTACTGTGTGCAAATTAGCTGCTGTGTTTTGCCAACAAAAAAATACAGTCATTACATTTTACAGTATATTCTGTGTATCGCTTTGAGACATCTTCCCATGCAATAGATCATGAGAATCATAGCTGATTTTCCACTTGCTAACAATAAACACTAAAACCAATTGTAGTACCCCAACTGTTATTAGCTAATTCGGTGGAGCTGGGCGCAGGGGATGAAACTGGGGTCTTAATGGTTTGTTTAACTTAACTGTTCACTGGAAAAACTCAATAACGTAAAGGGAGTTGTGATAGAAAATGTTAAAGTGTTTATTTGCTGGCAAAATTAACATGTTCATATCATACCTCCAGTACTCATCTCCAATGAAGAACAAAGTCTTCCTCGTTTCCTGAATGTGTAGAGCTGCATCTATTTTCTCAACGTTTCTTGGAATACCAAGATTGTGTAAATTCTTAGGGTATTCCGGTAAAATATCATAGCCATTGATGACCCAGTATTTTGTGTCTGTAGGATTAGAGTAATTCTGTTAGTACATACACGTTGAAAAGGGTGTCCTTCTCCTCTTCCTAGTTGTCTTTCCTTGCATATACTTGTTTTTAACACTTCTACTATATTTAACTCCCCCCTTCAAGTGTTAAAAAAACTCAGTCGATGCCCATTGTCTAGTTTTACTGTACTACTTCCTGCCAATATACTCAATACAAAAAATTATGATCAGAGAATTTGAAACAGAAATTATAGCATAGAAAGAAATCATTAGGTCCACTGAGCCTATAAAAGTAATTGTCATGTTAAATTTAACAGTGAGTTGTGACAATGTATTTCACATACTAAGTATCTTCTGCATAAAACTTCTTCCAACTGCATTCTTAACTCATTCAGTATCAATCCTGACCATATGATCCCTTGCTACTGAATAAGAATAATCTTTCAAAATGCAAAATACTGCAGATGCTGAAAATCTGAAAACAAAAACAGAAGTCGCTGGGAACACGAAGCAGGTCAGGCAGCATCGATGGAGAAAGGAAAGTGAGTCAATGTTTCGAGCCCACAACCTTTCGTCAGAACTTGGGCATGTTGGGAGGGAGAGGCTTTTAAGAACTAACAAAGTGGGGGCAGGCAGGGCAAGGATGACAAAGGAGAAAATAGGGTAGAGGACAGGGGATGGTGTGTTAAAGAAATATTAATGATTCAAAACAAAGGGGAGGGATTGCAAAAAAGCAGGGGAATGGAGGTGTTAATAATGCAAAACAAGGGGAGGGAAAGGGGGGGGTGGGGGGGAATTGCAACAAAATAGGTAGACCAGAGAGAGAAAACATGTGTCTGGGACCAAGGTGATGTGGTAATGGTCACAGAAGAGGGGGAGGGGGAATGTGAACTGTTATGGTCTGAAATTGTTGAAATCAATATTGAGACCAGAGGGCTGTAAGGTTCCTAGCAGATAAATGAGGTGCTGTTCCTCGTGCTTGCGCTGTGGCTCATTGGAACAGCATAAGAGACCATGGATGAAGAGGTCAGAGTGGGAGGGAGAGTTGAAAAGGCAAGAGACCGGAAGCTCGGAGTTGTGCTTGCGGACAGAATGGAGGAATTCATCAAATCGGTCACTCAATCTGTATTTCGTCTTCCTAATGTAGAGGAGACCACATCGTGAGCAGGGAATGCAGTAAACTACATTGGTGGTAGTACATGTGATGATCTTTACTGTTTATCAACTGAAAATCTCCATTAAATAAGTGCTTCTATTTTCATAATTGTATTATTATTTATACTTTGACTCCGTCACTGCAACCATATCACTATGAGGAAGCAGAGTAACAATATATAACCTTTGATAATAACAAGGAGATCATTCTCTGAGTTTTCGTAGGCAGCATCGATATTGGGAGGGATTGATGACCAAAATATTGTGATTAATATGAGTTCAGGTTCAACCTCTTGTGGGTGTCGGCGCCAAAGAAATCTAAATGATCATCACAAAACAAAAAATGTTAGTGCAATGCATCAACTGTTTATTAATTATTTTATTTAATATTTATTGATAGCTATTTTATTAAAAGCTCAATATCTATTACTATGTTTCTTTGTAGCCAGAACCAAATCATTTTTGTCACACGGCTTCTGTAAGATAACATTGGTAAATTATTTGTTGGAAGAACTGTGATCCTCATAGGCCACAAATCATCCCATGGACAAGAGAACTGCATCTTGCTACAATACACAAAGGAATGTGGGTAAAGAGACCAGATCTAACACTCTTATGTTACCATGACCAGAACTGTATGCAGTACTCAAGGTGTGATCTGCCCTTGATATTCAGTGACCAATATTTGTGAAGATGTTTTACATGTAGTACTTAAATTCTTACCTGTCCTTGAAAAATATCAATTCTCCACGAAGTTTAGTAACTGCATCAAAATCCAAATTAGGATTACATTTCTCTGGTGCTCTTGCCGGTGGCTTGGGTAAACTTGGATCAGTATTAATTGATGGACCTGGATATAAAATAGATTAATAAGCAGTCTGGGTTGACATATAAAAATGGCAACTTACACAACATGGTACATTACTGCTGTTTAAGCAATTTAATTGGATCTTGTCCATGTATATCCTTTTAATTCCCAGTTCCATAACTCTTCCAACACAAAAATAATAGGATTCCCTCACATTCCAAAATAATTTGTATTGTTACTCTGATTTATGTGAAAATATCTCAAAAGTACTTCACAGGTATAATTTTTTAAATTGTAATTTACACATATATACATATATATAAAATAATACATGCATTTTGATACAATACCTTATTACGTTGCCAAACATCTCAAAACACTTCACAAAATTTACGTTAAAGTGTAATAAACTTGTATTTAGGTAAACACAGCAGACAATTTGTACACATTAATATCTGACTAACAGCCATGAAGTGAATGACCAATTTTATCTGAAAGATTATTGGCCAGGACATGGGAAGACACTCCCTTGTCTTTTTGAATAGTGCCATGGGATATTTATTGTTCACCTGAACAGCCATATGGGACCTTGGTTTAAGGTCTCACTGATGCTACCACCCCCGACATTGCAGGATCCCCTTTCTGTATAACAATACCAATTAAGTAACATTTCTATCTGAGATTTAGACGTACCATACAGAGCTTGGATTCCATCCACATCATCCTGTGGAAGAGCAAACCGAGTAACATCGGTATATGCGTATACGGGGTACATCAAAGCTCCAGCATCTCTCGAATGTGCAAGTCCCAGTGCATGGCCAAACTCATGAGCAGCCACCAGGAACAGGTTATAACCTAAACAAATAGTCATAAAACAGTGAATTCAGAAATTAGTTCCTGAAGACATAAGTATAAGCCAATGATATTTTAAAACTATAATTAAACAATACCTAATGGTGTGACTGTTACTCAAATGAAATCTAATGGATAGATTTAAAATTCTTGAACCACGTGGTACGTGATACGTGAAGGACATATATGTTTCTAACCTACAATAAGCCTGAATTTTCACCTCTAGTTTTGGACATCAGACTATTTATCTTCAAATTTACACAGAATTGGGGCATATGGTTGCATTCAGGTTTAACTTACTTTTTTTTAAAAAAGGAGCCTTTTAAATTATAATAATAATAATAATCCTTGCATTTAATATAGCGCTTTTCACGTCTTCTAGACATCTCAAAGTGCTTCACAGAATAGACTGTAAAGTGAATTGACTGTATATTTGTGGGCAAATGCGGCAGCCAATTGCGCACAGCAGTGTCCCACAAACAGTCGTGAATTAAAGTGACCAATTTATTAGTGTTTTTCTTCAGGGATTATTATCAGGCGTGTGGCGTAAGGAAACTTGCCCAAGGTTTCATCCTGCTGGAAATCGAACCCAGGTCTCTCTCTTGCCAAACGAGTGCTCTAACCACTGAGCTACAGGACTCCACCAAATTAATAAATTTCACACAACTCTACATTTTAAGACAAAATGGTCTTACAGGCTAAGATTAAGTGTAATTTCAGGCCACAAAACGTTTTAGGTATTGTTTATAAAGTAATAAAGTTGATTTAGTTACAAACATTTTGAACAACACAATGGCATTTTTATGGCACAGTAAAATCTACATAAAACAATTATGCTATTATGTTTGCATGTGAGAAAGAATACATGACAATATATTATACCCATCACAATTGAGGAAGGTGAACGCTTTATTGTAATGCAAAAACAGTTTTATTTCTCAAATTTATAATATATACAATATTTCCTTATTGAATTACTTTCCTAGCATATCAAAAGCTAGAGTCACCTTCTTGAATAATTTAACTCCACACGCCTAATAATAATCCCTCCAAAACCCAAAACAATAATAAATTGGTCATTTTCAATCTACGATTGTTTGTGGGACATTGCTGTGCGCAATTGGCTGCCGCGTTCGCCCACAAATATAGAATCAATTCACTTTACAGTGTGTTCTGTGAAGCGCTTTGGGACGTCCTCCCGACGTGAAAAGCGCTATATCAAATGCAAGGATTATTATTATTATTATTATACCAATAGCGATTATTCTGTCTTTGTACCTTCATATCCCATTGTCCAGGTTTCAGCTTCATCAAAATGAGTGTCTCCCTGAACTCCTGGTCCAGGTTCGAAAGCATGGGCCAGTATACTGCCAGGTCCATCGAATGGATTCCCGTCTCCATGTTCTTGAAATTAAAACATTGGAATTAAAAAAATCAGAAATAAAATAAAAAGCTGTCAGTGTCTGTCATCAGGTTAATAAACTCTTAGCAATGTTTTGATTTCAGCGGCACATGCAATTCCAGTACTTTGTTGACTCAGTTTACACAATTCTATGAAATGGTCTTACAGGCTAAGACCAAGTGCAATTTCAGGCCTCAATGTGATAAAATTAATTTAACAAATGTAATCAGAAAAAATTCAAGTTAATATAATCATTCTAAATTTTTTGTCCCCTTGTGCAAAATATTACAACATTCATTATAAATAAGCGTAAAATAACCAACATTTTAGTTAAGAGCTGTGAAAGTCGTTAAACAGAACATTGAATTAATAATCCTTTCATTTGATACGGTCTCTTATCATGTCTTAAAGCGCTTCGTAGGATGTTCTGTAAAATGATGCGGCTAAATGTATTTTGTTGAAGATTTTCAGAAATGGGCAGGATGGCCAACACCTCACCTGGATCTGCACAGCGTGCATAAACCTATACAACTGTACAAAATGGAAACTGTAAAATCTTACCCTGATCATATCGTGAATTTATGTGCATTTTGTATATGTGCATTAATTGTATTTCTATTCTTGCTTTCGTTACTCAATACGCTTCTGTTTATCTAGCAATAAGTAGGAGCCCAGTTGTTAGTCAATGGGCAGTTTGCTTTCCAGGGATAATAACCCCTTAAAAATTTTTTAATAATAATTTGTTCACTCGACCCATGACTGTTTGTGGGACACTGCCGTGCGCAATTGGCTACCGTAGGATGTTCTGTAAAGTGATGCAGCTAAATAGACAATCAATATACTTTACAGTACATTGTGTAAAACGCATTGAGACGTCTCAATGACGTGATAAGGCGCTGTATCAAATGCGAGGATTATCATGAGTATTGTGTTGAACTGTGTTGCGAAAGAATTATTATTTAACACAATCTAAAATCCTTGGTAATCTAACTTATTGATACCTCTAGGAGCAAAGGAGATCATCATTTCAGCTTCTCCTTCATAAAGTCTTTCAAACGTCAGTGGAGTGACCCTACTCCAGACCCTGAGAGCTCCCTCTAGAGCTATATCCACATCAGCACGTGAAATATCCGGGGTATAGTTCAGAATCCTATTAAGAGATTAAATGCAAACGTTTTTGTTTCTTTAAAATGCAATAAACTGCTTTCTTGTGGTTCTTAAAAAAAAACACCAAGGAAAAAGAAACGAGTACCTTACCTGTATGTGATGATGTTGGTGTTCCACTTGGATTTGCGTGGAAAGAGAGAGTACTCAGCAACATCAGGGACTCCACATCGGGATTGTTTCATTATTTGCATTGTTTCAGGGCTCAGGTCACCAGTTACCTTCAGCCCGTAAAATCTTTGCATCTCTTTGATTTTATCCATTGGAGAAGTTTCTGCTGAATAGCTTCTGAACTTGTCCATGGGATCTTGTGGGTCGTCTTCCAGTCCGTAGAACTGCTTGAGATACGCCTTCAAAGCAACAGAAAGTTAAAGCAAACGTTTAAGTTAACATTGCGGGTCACACTGTTCTTACCAGTTCCAAATGCTGAATTTTTATGCTTTTGTTTTTTCTCCTCTGGGCAACTTATATCAATGTCAGCACCTTTGCATACTGCCAATCCGGTTGGTTTTCATCTGTGTCTGAAGGAACAGGAAAAGAAGAAGAGAGTTTGAAATTGACTAAAAGGAACAAGGCTGAAAAGCAAAGACCCTTCATCTCTGCTTTCTCTCTCTCCTTTCCCGAACTCTCAGATCTCTTGCAGCCTCTGTGGCTTTTATAGGGGTCTCCCTTTTGCTCAGTTCATAACAAGGTGAATCAGATGTGAGTAAGAGGTGCGAGGACCAGTCGTTACGATTGGTGTCTGGTTGGTTGGGCAATGGCAGGATGTCCATTCAAGGAAATTCTTCCGTTTACGCAATCCACCAGCAAATAGCTTAAACTGTCTGTGTTCATGTTATCCCCAAACACTGAAATTAATTATTATGATGATGATAATGATGATCCCTTGATTCATCTTTGTGAGATCTTCTGTACACGAATAGGCTGCCACATTTGCCAACAAATACACTGTATATAATTCCTTTCGAAGCGCTTTGAGAGGTTTATTATTATTATTATTGTATTACAACTCATTAGGGTTTAGATGATCTTTGTGAGAAATGTATCAATCCTTTCCTTATTTTGATAGAGGTTTTTTTATTGATATTATCCATTGATTGTATTTATTACATGATACATGCCACCCTGCTATCTTATGAAAACTAGGAATTATGCTGGCAAACATTTCCACGAATTACATAGAATGAAACAGACCATTCTGCTCAAATAGTGTTTAAACTCCACACAGTCTCCACCCCTCATATTTCTGTCTCTCCTATTCCTCTACTCATAGGAGAGACAGGACTCTGGGTTGGATGAGCGCAAATTTCCTTCAACTGAACGTTGACAAGACGGAAGCCAAACTCTTTGGTTCTTGCCAACGTCTCAAATCTCACGGCTCTCACCTCCTCCACCTACCTGACGTCCCCCTAAAACTCTCCGAACCCGTACACAACCTTGGCGTCAGGTTCGACCCCCAATTATCCTTCCTCCCCCACATCCGGTCCCTCACCAGCACCGCTTTCTTCCACCTCTGACGCATCGCCCATCTCCACAAATACCTCTCTCCAAAGGCCGCTGAAACTCTGGTCCATGCCTTTGTCGCCTCTCAGCTGGACTACTCTAATGCCCTCCTCGCCGGTCTCCCATCCACCACCGCTCCGCTCCCCGATCACCCCAGTCCTTGCCAGGCTGCACTGGCTGCCTATCCCAGAGAGGATCGATTTCAAGATCCACACCCTTGTATTCAAATTCCTCCACTCCTCTGCACCCCCCTACCTCTCTGACCTCCTCTCTCCTCAAAACAGTACCCGTCGCCTTCGATCCTCTGGGTCTGGTGTCCCCCGAGTCCTCCACTCCACCCTTGGCAGCGATGCCTTCAGCCACTATGCCCCGAGGCTCTGAAATTCCCTCCTCACTCCCTTCGCCTTTCCCCCTCTCTTCCTACTTTCAGGTCCCTTCTGAAGACCTTTCTTTTCGACCCGCACCTTTGGTCACCTTCCTCCCCCTCCCCCTGGCTCGGCCCCAGGATTCGTTACTGTGAAGCGCTCTGAGACGCCATCCGGCGTGGAGGGCACTATATAAATCTGAGTTGTTGTTGCTGTTGTATTCCCTTCTCCTTCACTTGTGCATTGTTTCCTCTGAAATACTCTGATATTTTTTGTTTGGTCCACAACTTCCAGCAATGAGTTCCACATTCTGAGCACTTTCTGCGTGAAGATGTTCCTCCTCAATTCCCTATTATCTATCTCCAATATGGACCTTATATTTATGCCTCCTCATTTTGGACTCACCCAAAAGTGGTAACAGCCTAGCAATGTTTACCTTTCTGAACCCCACCTTTGGTGGGTGAGCCTTCAGCCTCACTGCCCCCACCCTCTAGAACTCCATCCCACAGTACTTCTACCTTGTCCCCTCCCCTGCCTCCTTCAAGACCCATCTCAAGACCCTCCTCTTCAACCGTGACTTTGGTCACCCTCCTACTCTCTCTGCCCTCCACCCCCCACCCCAATCCTGTTCCCCAGCTCGGTTCTAAATTCCTGACTGTCCAGAGCCTTGGGATGTGAAAGGCGCAATGCAATGTAATTTTGTATTGTATAATATTAAACCCCTCAATTAAGACCCCTCTAAATCATCTCAATTCTAGAGAGAAAATCTCCAACTTGTCTAATCTTTCTTCATAGCCTTATCCACTCTGCTGGTAATATCCTTGTAAAATGGGTGGCAGTGTCATTCTGATGGTTCATTAAAGTTGACTTTCTTTACCTGAACAGAGAATGTTGGTGGTTTATTTTGAGCATGGGATGAGGACATTACAACTGAGCGTCCTTCCATCTTCACTGAAGAACAGTTCAGCAGGGATGATTGGATCATGATCGGGAGCCTTGGCCACTTTTCCCCTCACTTACTCAGGAGCCCAGCCTGAGAATGGCTATCTCAGTACACATCAGAAATCAAAGGGTTTATCTTGTACAGCTCAACAGCACACCATGCAGTGCAGTGACCCACACAATGAAAGGGGGGAGGTAAGAATTTGATCGGGTTTTTCTGTACAGCATGAAAACTTCTGCAAAGCGAAGGATTTTAAAGGCCCATCTGGTATTTTTATTTTTATCATATGTTTTAAAAGCACTATAATATATTGATAATGGGGTTTATTTCACAAATTGTGTAACCTATGTGTATGGAGGGAACTAAAGGTGCCCTTAACTCTAATTATGTTTTAAACTGTCATTCGACGGCACTGCTGATTATACAGACCGGCCAGCCTGACTCATAAGTAGGACTTGGAGGGGCAGACCGATCACTGGGCACAAGGATGCTTCCTACTTAGCTCAGCTACTCAGCTAAAGCCCTAACAAGCTGGAGAAGCATTGGGAAGCTGGCCAGATAGTGCTCAAAATGGCAAGCTATGAGGTTTTAGCTGGGTAAACTCCTGCAAGGGAATCCAACTTGTGTGTATTACTCTCCAGAATTAGGTAATCATATGCATCCCTCCAAAGACGAGTGTGCATTCCCTTCCAAACATGGGAATTTCCATGTGAGGATGGCATGCATGGAACCCTCAGTTGGGTTGGATACTCTTAAGGCCTTGTGATAAGTTTTCACTTGTTAGACAAAACAAATGACCAACTGACCAAATGAAATAAATAGTTAACAACAATGGAAAGAATTTCAGCTAATGTATTGATGTTTCTTGTTTTGAAGAACATATTGATATACTTTTGGAAGGATGTCAAGGCATTGGAAGGGTGCAAAGGACGGTACCAAGAATGAGGGACTTCAGTTATCAGGAGAGGCTAGAGAAACTAGGATTATTCTCCTTGGAGCAGAAAAGGTTAAGAGGAGACTTCATAAAAGTTTTCAAAACTATGAGAAATTCGATAGGGTGACCAAGGAGAAACTATTTTGACTGGCGGGTGAGTCGGTAACCCCAGGCCACTGATTTAAAATAGTTATTAAAAGAAACAGAGGGGACGTGAGGAGAACNTTTTTTTTTTTACACAATGAGTTGTTCGGATCTGGAATGCATTATCTAAAAAGGTGGTGAAAGCCGATTCAATAACAACTTTTAAGAGAGTAGATAATTATTTGGGAAGGACAACAATAACAACAACAAAATTACATTTGTATAGCGCCTTTCAAGTTGGGAGGACAAGTTTGCAGGGCTATAGGGAGTGCGCGGGGGACTGGGATTGAATTGGGTAGCTCTTTTCAAAGAGCGGGCACAGACACAATGGGCCGCAAGGCCTCCTTCTTTGCTGTATAATTCTATTATAGTCCTGTAGCTCAGTGTAGAGCACTCGCCTTGCAAGCGAGACACCTGGGTTCAATTCCAGGCAGGGTGAAACCTTGGGTAAGTTTCCTTACTCCACATGCCTAATAATCCCTCCAAAAAAAATAATAATAAATTGGTCATTTTCAATCCACGACTATTTGTGGGACACTGCTGTGCGCAATTGGCTGCCGCGTTTCACCCACAAATATATGGTCAATTCACTTTACAGTTATTCTGTGAAGCGCTTTGAGACGTTGAGAAGACGTGAAAACCGTTATATCAAATGCAAGGATTATTATTATTATGATTGTATGTCACAGAAGCTAAAATCTGTAACAATTTTAAAGCAGGAATGGATAATTTACAAATAACTTAACTTGTGATCACAATTCAATGTAGTAATGTCAGAAATACTCAGTTTCATCTTTTCATAATGTGTCCTCCAGAGGGTGATGTGTTTACTGCTAACAGCAGAGAATTTTTCTGCACCTGCTTACAGATCCTGTAAGTGAGCAATACTAAGCCTAATGATAATTGTAGAATTGGCAAAGTAAAAGTGAACTATTATCTGTTTCTATTAGCTTCTGATTTCTTCTCACAGAGGAGAATAAAAACATATTGATTTGGTTTTAAAGCTGGAATAAATGGTCAATTTCTCAGAGAACTTTTCCGAGCCAAATGAGTTGAGCTCAGATCTTCAGAAATTGTGCAATGCTCTGTTCAGGCTGCCTTTGGAGTATTGCATGCAGTTCTATTTGTTGTGGGATAAGGATTTGCCCGGGGAAAGAGACTGAAACTGAATTACAACTTTTCTATCATTTGAGATAAATAAGAATGACCAGAATGCCTTTTGCCCCTTCTCATTGAGGTTTCAAAGGATAGAGTCCAAGCAAAATTCGACTATCCTCCTTGTGGGGAGGGTCTCCTTGGAGCTGCGGTGGCTCCATCATGATGTGCTCACTATGGAATGTTGGAATAGAGTCAATCCTCTGGGACAGTCTGGTTCCTGAGTCAGGTGGGTCTGCAGTACTCCAGGGCACTGATCAAATGGGATGAAGA